CAGGTTCCAGAGTCACTTTCAACTGATGAGAGTTTGAGCTTAGTGCAAACAGGTTCTCAAATCTTACACTGAGCTGGAGCAGAGATACAGGTTTCTTTGGCCTTAAACTCGCCATCGCTGAGGCATAAGCCAGTTCGACAAAGAATGCGCCTGGAACAATAGGAACACCATTGTTTTTATGCTCCCAAAGATATGGTGCAGTCTCTAAAGAGAGGTTGCATATGTACTCTTTGTTATCCTGATTTATTGGGGATATGAGCATGTGAGGGGGAAATGCAGACGATTCATTGCCTTTTATCACAGCTTCAAAATGCAATTCCTTTGTTGTGTTGACAAACTGGTAGACTGGAAACTCTGTGGGCAATGTTTCATAACCCCTGTACAGCTGATGCCAATCTACACTGTTGCCTAGTTCAAAGAGTTTGGCCACGGTAGACAAGATTGTGTTGTAATCTTTCTCTGGTTGGACTGAGGGAAGAACTATGGTGTTATTTCCCAAAGTTTCATGTATGTTCCTTTGGAGTACCCTACGGGGTCCAATCTCCACAAAGACCACATTTGTCCTTGAGTGCTTGTCTTTGGTGACAGCGTGCAGAGCTTGTTCAAATAAAACAGGTTCCCTAATGTTCTTTGCCCAGTAGCTGCCTGTTGTAAAGTCATCATCTGAATAACAGTTACCAGTCACTGTTGAAAAAAGTTTGCACTCCTTGTCTTTGGCATACAAGGGATTAATACTTGTCTCAATGTCATCAAGTATGGGATCCATCATATGACTATGGTATGCTGCTGGTACATCTAGTTCATGGAGGAAGAGATTTTTCTCTGCAAACATAATCTTCAGCTTCTCATGAAGGATGGCTATAGCATCTGCATCTCCGGACAGAGTGCAGGATTGGGGGCTGTTGAGCGCCGCAACACAAATTTGACCAGCAAATTCCGGAAGGGTTTTTAATACCTTTTCTACAGCCACATTACTGACAACAAGCATTTTCCCCCCTGTGACCTTATTCTGGAGTGTACTGCGGTGGTGCAACACTTTCACAGCATCCTCAAGAGACAAAAGACCAGAACAGTGAGCAGCAGCAACTTCACCAACAGAGTGTCCAAGCACAGCGTCTGGTTTGATACCCCAGTGCTTTAGGAGGGCTGCAATTCCAACCTGAACTGCAAAAATAAGAGGTTGGCATTCAGCATTTGGCCTGCTGAAATGATTATTATCATATTCACCAGAAAGCCATTGACTGATGCTGATGTTTTTATGACTCTGAAAGAGATTCTCCACTTCTCTGACCTTATCTCTGAAAACAGGAACGTCTGTTAGGAGCTGTTTGCACATACCCCTGTAGGCAACGCCATTTCCACAAAACACAAAGACCAGCTTGATGTCAGGACTTATTGATTCAACCTTTGCTTTCAACACAGATGTCAGCTGATGTTTTAACTCTGAGAGGGAAGATGTTGGGAAGGCTCTTCTATATTTGTGCCTAGAATGACTCCTTCCACATGCGGAAGTGTAGGACAGGGCCTGTAAGTCAACAGTTTGATCATTGCAAAGCCTCTGGTAGGTGTCAGTGACAGACAGAATAAATGATTTCTCACAGGCTGCGGATGTTACAAAGAGATTTGTACAGCTTTGTGGGATCTGATTGTCTAGGCTGGTCTGTCTGTGCTCTCTTACAATCACATGTGCATTTGTGCCTCCAAATCCAAAGCTGTTGATCCCAGCTACCTTTTCTAATGACCCCTTTGTCTCCCATTGTTCAGCTTTGGTTGGAATTCTTATACCAAGAGCTTTTACATCTAGACTGGCATTGTCTTCTGAGTAGAAAACTGACGGAACAATGGTTGCATGCTTCATCATTAAAAGTACCTTTATCAGTCCGGCCACTCCAGCTGCAGATTCTGTATGTCCAATGTTGCCCTTGACAGAGCCAATCCACAGCGTCTCTGAACCAGGAGGTTTGGCTTTAGCGATGACATTTGAGATGCTTCCTGCTTCTGTTGGATCTCCAACTGGGGTTCCTGTCCCATGTGCCTCTATGTACTGGACATTTGCAAGGTCAGACTCTGAGTAGATGTTGCGCAGGAGTTCCTCTTGTTGTGTCATGGATGGTTTGGTAATCGGAGTAACAGAGTGTCCATCTTGGTTGACTGCTGTTTTGCTGATGATACCCCATATTCTGTTGCAGTCTTTTATGGCCTTTGTAGAGAAAGTGACATTATTAGCAGACTATCTATTTCCCCTTCTGTTTGAAGTGTGTTAATAGCATGAAATTACTGTCAAAATGTTACCTTTTTCAGCGGCTTCAGGAGAACTACACCACAGCCCTCCCCTCTACCGTATCCATCTGCTCTGCTAGAGAAAGGTTTGCTGGTCCCCTCAGGTGAGATCATCTTTGCCTTGCTGAGAGCAACAAACACTCTTGGTTCTAATATACAGCTGACTCCTCCACAAAGAGCCATCTCGCAGTCTCCTAGTTGAAAAAGAGAGTGAAATAAAATATGAAACATTTTAATGTGATGCATTGCTTTTAGGAATGACATTTGTATGGGAAAAATATTAACCACATACCTTGCTTTATAGCCTGGCAGGCTAAATGAAGCACCACCAAAGATGAAGAACAGGCACTGTCAACGGCAAATGAAGGGCCGGTGAGATTAAAGGTGAAGGATATTCTATTGGCCGCCACACTCATGGCTGTACCAGTGCCGTTGTAGTGATTAATCGTGGTTGGACTGTTACTTTGGAGTATTTCGTAATCCCTGTTCATTAGACCTGCAATACCATTCAAAAACAAAATGTCAGTGTGTTTATCATAACAATATGATTTGACTTTTTGATTTATGTATGTGAAAGATAGTAGTACCCATGTACACTCCAGTTCTGGTTCCGTTGATGCTTTCCATAGCTATACCCGCATCTTCTAATGCCCTGTATGTACACTGCAGAAGGAGTTTCTGCTGAGGGTCCATGAAATCAGCCTCTACTTCAGTAATGCCAAAAAACCTGTGATCAAACTCATTAAACCTGAAATATAAAATAGCAGATTTATCCACATGTTTTAAAATGTGGGGATTAACATTTGATTTTGCCAGAAAATGCTTACCCTTCTATTAGAGCTGCTTTGGTTGTTTGTGTCTTTCCGGGTTTGCTCTCATCAGCATCATACCAAAAGGTGGTGTCAAATCTCTCTGGTGGAATGTCCACAACGCAGTTATTTCCCTCCAACAGAACCTTCCAGAAATTGTCCAAACCTTCACCTAAAATAGAATGTACCACAATTCAAGAATTAACCTTTGGACAACCTCGAAAAGAAATGCAGAGAAATTCAAAATACTTCAGTCATACCTCCAGGGAAATTGCATCCAATCCCGATAACCGCTATGTCATCATTTGCGTCCTCCATTATTCCTCTGGTAGGGCAGAAAGGTGGCTCTGCGGACATGGTTGCTTTATTCAAAAACCCAAAGAGAAGCTTCAAGCGGCTCCATAGTGAAGCTTAATGTGCAGTCCTGGCTGCTCTTTCTTTGGCAGAGCTAGTGCTGCTGTTCCTCTAACTCTTTATAAACATTGTGCCAATGAAAAGGGGGGCGCAACAATGCCCTGCCTTGTTGCAACTCACTTGACTTCACCTGGAACTAAATACACTAATTGTAACTTAAGATCATTCAAAGGGAGTAGTGAATACATTGTTTTTCTTGTTTGCAGTTTAACAAAAGAGCTCAGTGTAAAATTAAGTCTGCTTTTTCAAGGCAGACATTTAAGTCCTCTAAGTGGTCATTTCCAAAGAAACCTGTGATCACCTAGTATCTCAAAGGAAATATAGTAACCTTTTAGCCTCAAAGATGTTCCTTAACAAATAATTATTAAGACAACCTGATTAAGGAATCAGGTATTAAAAGAGAACACAAGAGAGCACATTCTTTCTCTATTGAGAGATCTATTACAAATAGACAAACGTATGCTTTAAAATATATAAGAATGATATTATTTGTATTTACAACTAATTGGCTGAACACATAATCTGCAAATATATGCATACTTATTAACCAAAGTCTATTGATAAATGCAACAGTAATTATTATAAATACAACTGGTATAATAAACCTTAGTACAACGTTATGCATTACACTAACGCACATCACGCAAACATTATCTTGCTACTTTTTCAATTGTTATTCCTTTGCAAATGTCTTCTCCACACTACCTCTTTCAAATCAGCACAGCTCTCCACTTTACATACAGTAGGCTATATAGTATTTGTCATATGCAAATATTGGTAATTTGTTATAATAGTCTTCAAATAGTTCTTGTAAAAAGCTTTCATAAGAGTCCATTTTATTTTATTTTGCTACATATTTTTCTTTCTAATCTTTGTATGCACCACACATACCAAACCTACTTGTTAATAAAACCGCTTCTGATTCCGAAAATATTTGCCTTCATTTGTTGGACATTTTGTTATGTTGGAGCCTTATCCTGAAAGTGTTTAGCACCCCCATGATGAGAAAGAGGAATCATTTGCAGATACATTTAAATGATATCACATTTACAAAAGTATTCAGAATCTTCAATCAAAATCAAGCCTCCCATTTCTCTTCATCCATTTAGGAATATTTCTACAGAAGCCATGCAATTGAATGAACTATCCAGCCCTATGTTTCTGTGTTGCTCTGCATCCATTGAACCAAATCCAAAATGTCCCATGTTTACTTGATGTGTGTGTCCATTTGAACAATGGAATTCAGTTCATTAAAAAAAATATTTTAAATATGCTGTAGTTACAAAAGCAGAGGGTTACACAAAACATTTAAACATTAGGAATCAATTGTGTTTTAAATAGGTGGCTAAATAATATTGAACCAAAGAATGTACCCATAGTAAAAATAATATGTATTGGAGTTATTTATCTTCAAAGGAATGCTAAAGACTATTAAAAATAGAAAGTTACTTACACGTTACACATTTGTCATCACTTGAGTCATGTACTGAACACCAATTTCATGAGTAAGGGTAACCTTTATTTGAGCTTCAAGGAAGCCTTTGTCTAAAAGAACAAACCGAAGCACAAAGGCAATCCTTTTACACGCTGACAGTATATATACACAGTTCCCCTCATATCAGCTACACGTGAGCTTAGAATCACACAAGGGACTACTACTAATTTCAGAAAAAGAGAACACAACTTTTGGGCACTTAAATAAATAGGAACAAACAAAATAGATGCGACTGAAAGACATGATCTAGAGATTGAACTCTATTATGAACAGCAGAATCAACTGTACCTTGGTACATTCTAGATTGAGGTCTTTTAAGGTTCTATGGTGTTGACTTGTCAGTACAAATGTATTTGAGACATAGACATACATGAAAGCATTCATCGCACCATGTCAACTTAATTTGCTCTATAACCTCGTAATGTTACCAAATTTGTATACAATTATGCCTTTTGTCTTTTGTTGAGGACAATAAGCCCTTGACGAAACCTGTGGACTAACACGTGGAGAACACATTTGTATTTCATCCAATTAAACTGTGATTTCTTAAAAAATGGCTGTGAAACCAAAAGTCTTCTCTACAGGAAAAGCAAGAGAAATGAAGATAAAATAAAAATGTATAAGGGGTGAAACAGCTTCATATATACACAATACAAGATTCTAAAATATCTACTGAGGTATCAGGAGGTCTAGTGATTTGTCCTCAAGCAACATCTTGATCTCTTTGGCATCCAGAGTCTCATGTGCTAGCAGGGCGTCCGCTAGCTTCTTGTGCTCCTCACTGTACGTCTTCAGGAGGGATTTAGCACGTGTGTAAGAGTCCTGGATCGAATAGGAAGATAGGTGAAAAAGAAATGGATTAAGAAACAGATCAATTATTAAACATATCTGACAAATAAAGTCAATGCTGTAGAAAACTCACAAGCAGTAAAACCCTGACTTCCTGTTCGATGGCTGCTTGTGTCTCGGGGCTCTGCTTGGTCACGTCCTTGTAGGTCATCACCCCAAGCTGCAACAAAAACACAAATGACTTCCTTGAGACGAAAGAACAATAGACTTCCTCATGCATCATTATACGCTGCAAAGCTTTTGCCCAGGACTCCAGAATGAAAGACTGTTTATGCTTTAGGAGTAATTATATGTTACAGTGTCAAGAGGACTGAAGGTTTTCATTGTAACGTAACAATAAACCATTCTCCCGGTCTCTGAAGAACAGCTGGAATCAACATCTTCAGAATAAAAATTGAAATTTGCGCTTGTATACTATAAAAACACTTCAAGAACCAAAGCAATAAAATCCACAAAACAGCACTATTGAGTATTTCTTTTTGTCATTTATGTTAATGGAGAGTATTAAAATGTGCCCTAATCAACCAAACAAATTAAACTGTTACCTTGTCACTCATGCCGAACCTGGTCACCATCATTTTGGCTATTTTGGTCGCTCCATCAAAGTCACTGGAGGCTCCTAAAATGCACATAAAGATACAAATAATCAAACTATTGTGTAGTAACACAGCACACAGATAATATAATCAGACATTAACTATAATATGGCAATGGAGTACTTGAGTGTGGATGTCAAATTATAAAAAAGACTGTTTCATCACAGCTAAACTACAAATTGCTCAAAATGAAATTCTGTATTTATTATTATAATACCGATCTGTCGAGGTACATTTGAGTTCACACAGACTGTATTAAGAAACTATATACATATTGTGGTTACAGTGTGGTTGAAACATATTCTCTTAAACATAATTTCTGATGCTGATTGCACATAACACCCAGGCATCAACTAAACGTATCTCTCCCGCACCAGTAGTGATGTTGTCATCTCCGAAGATGAGCTCCTCTGCTACTCGGCCCCCCATGCTCACATCCATCTGAGCCAGCAGCTGGGCTCTGGTCTCACTCCAGCGGTCATCCTCTGGGAGCATGGACACCTAAAGGACAGAGACAAAGACACTATGTTTAGCTTTAGGTTTAATGAGACAAAAACAGCACTTATTAGGTATATTAGAAGAGCTTACATGGCCAAGAGTTGGGCCTCTGGGCATGATGGTGGCTTTATTGATGGGCATTGCGTCTTTGGTGTAATAGGCTACGATAGCATGGCCGGACTCATGGTAGGCTGTGATGGTCTTATTCTTCTTGTCGATGTCAACACTCCTCCTCTCAGGGCCTGGTTTTTAATAAAGGATTAAAAGAAAATTCCATTCAGCTTTTCCCGGGCTCTATATTTTTCCTATCTTAGTTCGAGTCGATGTAATCTGTCTCATGTGATGTCAGGGTTCCAGAAGAGATTTAAACACTGTGTGTACTCACCCATGAGGATCTTGTCCTTAGCGAACTCCAGATCTGTCATTGTGACCATCTCTTTCTCGTCCACGGCTGCCTTCAGGGCGGCCTGGTTCACCAGGTTCTCCAGCTCGGCCCCGGTGAATCCCACGGTCCCCCTGGCAATGATTCCCGCTTCCACGGCTGGAACAGAGCAACACAATAGGAAATGCCTTCTTTATAAAAAGGTGAACAGTGTTCAAGAGACAATGGTGTCCTTTATAGAAATGAAGGTGTACCGCTCTGAATGCCTTGCAAAATGTGCAGGGTTTGTCAATAATATTCAGGGTTCTTACACCTTTTCCAAAGTCAAATTCAAGCACTTTTCAAGCATTTTCAAGGTGCATTTTCAAGCATCTTACAGCTGTTGTAAATTACATATTTATATACTCAAATGATTATTTCCCTACCTCACATTAAATCAGATGTTCTTTATGCTATAAACCAGGGGTTCCCAACCCCCGGTCCGCGGACCGGTACTGGGCCGCGGAGGTGTTACTGCCGTGCCGCGAAATAGCTGTGTGTTTATCGTAATATTTGCAGAATTATAAATATATAAAATATTTTATCATAATATTTTCAAAAAGTGTTTAATTTTTGCACCTATACCAGTCATATTATTTCATCCAGTAGCCTGGTTAAACTTTCACTAGAAAACTGTTAAAAATGGCTTTTATGATGTTCCGAGGGATTCGGCGGATCCTATAGAGCAGTGTTTCTCAAACTTTTTCATACCAAGAACCACTTAACCAATACAAAAATACTCGCGGACCACCTAACTCCACAAATATCCAAAAACACATTGTTTTTTACAAATCGCCTGAAAATGGTACAAACCAGTGGCCACATGTGTGATGAAGGTGTTGCGCTGGGCTATATCATGCAATCGAAAGTGAAACTTAAGCTCGCTCCATTGCGGAGATATTCCCGCGAGAGTGCGGAAAACTGAAATTAATTTATTTATTTCAAATGTGAAATGTTACCAATATACTCACGGACCACTAGGGGGCACTCACGGACCACCAGTGGTCCGCGGACCACACTTTGAGAAGCACTGCTATAGAGCCTATAGGGTCTCAGCCTCTCGTGCGCACAAGAAAGTTACCGGTGCGCCAAGTAGGAAGAGGAGCGCACAGGAGACAACTGTTTAATTGCAGACTGTTATGTTTATGTGGGGAAATGGCAGTGCATACATTATTTGAGATATATTTCAAACTCGGACTTCATTTTAAGGACATGTCGGCCAGGGGTGTAGAGCTATTTGTTTAAGCACCGGATTGGCAAAACAGGAGAGTAAACCAGTCTGCCTTGATCTATGAATTCATGTCCGGGACTCTCGCGGTATCTGCTGCCACAGCTGTTTTTATAGAAGGAAAACCTCCTTCACTTCATGAAATGGCTGCAGCACCAGGAGGCAGCGGGACATTATTGATTACTATTTTTGAGGTACTTTTAGGTTGGCAGTAAACATAAGTCAGAGGTAAATTGTGTATTTTTACTCCACTACATGTATTTAATCCATTTAGTTACTCTACAGATGTGGATGAATGATGTGAAATATAACCAAGTGTTAAATCAGACTTTAGTTCCACCTGGAGTAAATCCACAAGCTACCCTGCAGTATACAAAGTCATTCAAACTAGCTGCACCTTTACCAGCTTTGAGAACACTTTCATGATCAATCATTATAAAACATATCATATATATTATTCTGAAATGGACCAATCTGCACAATGACTACTTTTACTGTCGCTACTTTCACTATATTGTGATGAGAATACTTTTCTACTTTCACTTGAGGAACATTTTGAATGCAGGACTTTTACTGTAACAGAGTATTCCTACACTCTGGTACTTCTACTTTTACTCAAGTACAACATCTGAGTACTTAGTCCACCTCTAGTAGCGTATTAGCCTGAATTGTAGCCACAAAATCACGCGGAGCTGCATCAAAATAGACTCACAATGGTAAGTGGAAAATAGTATTTACAAATGTGTACAATGAATGGTAGGTAATTTTGACTACGCAAGACACCTGACTTATACATCTTCAAAGGAAGACTGTGTTCATTCTACAATTACATGGGATTAAAGCTAAATGTAGTTTTACTTGTATAATACTTCAAGATTTTATATAAAAGCCTGTTTCTAAAAGTATCAACCCGGTCAAATCCTCAGTTTATAATTTCTAACAACATACTAACAAGCTATGGTCTAATTACGCAACCAAGTCTCACGGCATTTCGTGTTATAGTCACGAAATAAATGTAATCTATTGATTCGTGTTCACCAACACCATTTTCCCCTTTTTTTCGTGTCACACAACGATTTTAAAAACAATGTATTTCTATTGGTAGTGTGTTTCGTGCCTGCTTCTTTTTGTCCGGTCGAGTCTTGGAAGACCGGAAGCTGTGGGGATCATAAAAACATGTTCTTACTCAATATCAAGCCACGATTATTGTTTTTATTTTCAATCGTATATTGTCTGGCTTTTTTTGCCGTCTGTGAGGAAAATAAATGGGGCTCAGAGCACAGTTTGTTTTCATCTGTTTTTAAATAAACAAAGTATTGGCTTTCAGAATATTAAACTTGTTTCGGCAAATTCCGATGATAAATACAACTTTGAAGCTTGTGACGGCATAATTACAAGCGGAGAACGGGGTAATTTAACGTCACTACAGGCATAACAACAGCCGGTGTTTCTTGTGAGTGTTTGCCCGGTACACAAACACAATACACACAAACGCAAAAATACACAAACACACACACACTCGCGAGCTTCCCCCAGACCAGTAATACAAACGAAAATGTGTCTTCGGGTCAATGAGACTGATTTCGATAGAGCAAGTCACATTTGGTTTAGGCACGAAACATACTACCAGTAGAAATACATTGCTTTCAAAATCGCTCTGTGTCGAATCAATAGATTATATTTCGTGACTATAACACGAAATGCCGTGAGACTGGGTTGAATTACAACAGTGAGTGCTTCAACCTCTGAACACCACCGGATGGCGACTGTAACGCACATATTAACATAGGTACGCTCCTCTGAAATGATAGCCCCCTTCAATTATTATTATCCCTCATCGAGTTCGCTATTCAGCTCGCTAACGTTAGCTTAAACAAACGTAACATGCAACGTTAGCCTAATCTAAAATGCTCTACTGCGGCGTACCTTTCATGTGGCTCGTCAGCACAGACTCTCGCATCGTTATTTGTTGCAAACTTTGCAGGAGGCTACTCGTGGGCTTGACCCTCGTCTTAGCCATGGCTTGTATTTGTCTTCTGCTAGCCAACGCTTGAAATGGCAACCTCCTGGCATACTATCCTTTATCACTCTCATCGGAATGCCCAGGGGCCTCATTTATAACGCCGTGCGTAGGATTCACGTGGGAAGGTTGCTTACGTAGTAGAAATCCAAAAAATAGGTACAGAAATTTTCCGATTCACCAAACATTGCGTTCCGGCGAGGAAAGTGCGTACAGCACTTCCTACGCCGGTTTCCCTTTATAAATCACAATCGACTCGAAATGCGGTGCAGCTTTTGCGGGCTTCACGTAACGCCCATATTTGCCTATAAATAGTCAAAGAAACGCCCATTCATTCATTCATTCTGACTGACTTTATGAAGAAGATAGCAGGAAATGACGACAGAACAGCTAAAAAAGACATCTCACACCGTGTCAGATTCTGGTTATTTTGGGGAGGTGGAGATAAATCATATTGTTTGGTGGATGCCGTTTGAACCAGAGTAGCAGCATGGAGGTCGGATCGTCACCAAAATAAATAAATAAGTGGTCCGAAAAAGGTTCATGACAAAAAAAATACACATAGCCTTCCTCAGGCAGTGTGTTTGTGCCGGGGACAGGAGACACCCCCTTGATGAGAGACTGTAAGAAATGATCGGGGAATCCCTCCGGAGTGGAGTCATGACGACTGGATCTGAATTATGTTATCTATTTGGTGGTTTGTGTCCCAGCTGTCGATCAGCTGTGCGCAGCGTCTCCACTGCAGCAACTCTATATCCACCAGTTAAAGGGAAATGGAAACACTTTTCAAACTGCTTTCCATGCGACAATATTCCCATTAGGAAATGTATTTATCTAGTCTATTTCCAATGTAAACGATCGAGATACGCACATTTATTTTTTGAAATACGTGCCTAATGACCATGGGCGCTTCCATTGCTCCGGGACTTTCCCAGTGACGTCACTGAGTGGGTACGGCTTCCTGGGCCAAAGCTCAATAACAAACAACATGGCGTGCAATGCACCAGTAGTTTACATTAAAAGAAAACGGTCGTCGTCAGGAGTTTATTGTATTGCCCCAGGCTGCACAAATGGATTTTATACGAAGAAGGAAGAAGTACATTTCCATAGGCTGCCACTAACGGATGAGAAGCTGCTCAAAGTATGGGTTATTTCCATGAAACGGTCCGATCCGCCGCTGAATCAGTACGCACGTGTGTGCAGCGAACACTTTAAAAATGACGATTATGTCCACAAAATGAGGTTTGATGAGTCTGGATGCTTGGTTCAATACAAAACATCGGATTTGAAGCCAGGATCTGTTCCCACAATATTCGATTTCTCAACGTATGCAGTCGGGAACACCGACCGTCCCAGCACGTCGGCCGCGCAAGACAATGACAGTGTCAACAAACGTGAAGTTCGAGCCACCAAACGAGTTGCTTCAGCTGCCGAGAGAGAGGTAAATATTGCAGCACTACCAGATTACTAGCTCACACATGTATTTACTGACACAGTGTGACCTTATTAATTAACGCAATCGCGTCCTAACTAAATGGTAGCTATTATTATGACGTACAATGGAGAATTGGGGGTGTTCTATAGCTCAACTCGACGAATAGTCAAATTCATCGTTCAAAACGTCGATCTCATTGCAAAATTCCTCCATCGCTGCCATATCTGCTACGTTGTGTTGACTTCCGGTATGGATACCCGGAGCGAAGACCCACCCAGTGACGTCACCATTTGGGACTCCCCTAATGGCGGCGGCCTGGTCCCGGAATTCCCCACCCGGCCGGCGGATAATTAATTTTCTTTTGGCGAGTAATATCATATACAATAAATATGACGATCAATATTCATTGTAAAATGAATAAACTCCCAGAATATTATAGCTGTAATTGGTGTTTCCTTTCCCCTTTAAAGGAAACACAACTAATGTGTTGTGTTATATTAGCTGTACAATTTACCACATATGGTGTTCTTAGTTTCCATACCTCCTTGTGTTTTATGAGTGACTTATCAAGTCTTAGCAAACGGCATAAAACATGATTGCCACTTTTCTTTGCTGGTATTGGTTGAAAAAAGAATGTTGGTTCGTAAAAAAAGTTTCCAATTTCAATTCGTTTCTGAATTGCCAAAAAATGTATAAGGATGACAAATAAAGAGTGCAGTAAGAAAAATATCCTGAGAGATTTGATTGCTGGGATATTCATTTAAAGAAAGTACCTTAACATTTAACATTAAGACCTACCAGGGTCCACTTTGATCTTGGAGAAGTACCAGTTGAGAATTTCCGTGCGTCCTTTCACATCGGGGCGAGGGACCGTCACCTGCATGTCAAATCTTCCTGGCCTTATCAGAGCACTGGGAAGCAGTAAAGAAATATTAGTTAATAAACATAGTAGAGTGATCCCTAATTTCAATTTTAAATAAGCTTAAGGCAAATTAGAGCTTATGTGAAACAATGAATTGTAAACATACCTATCCAAAGCTTCTGCAAAGTTTGTAGCACCAACAACGATCACACCTTCATTTGGTTTGAACCTGTACAATAAAACACATTAAGAGTTCAAAATGCAAAAAGTTTTTCACACTAAGTCTGTTTAATGTCAAAGGCAGAAAACTGACCCATCCATTTCAGCCAGCAGCTGGTTGATGGTTTGTCTAGAATAAGGATGCATCGGAGACTCGATCCTCTTCCCTCCAACGCTGTCCAACTCATCGATGAAGATGACACAGGGAGCATTTGCTTTTGCCTCTTCTGCAAACCACAAAGACAGATTGTAGTTTGTTTCGATAAATCCTCAACTGGATACTCGGCCATTATCTCCAAATCCAGCAAACTTACTGAAGAGGTTCCTGATACGACTCGCACCGACCCCCACAAACATCTCATCAAACTCAGACCCGGAGGCGTAGTAGAAAGGAACATCAGCCTCCCCGGCAACAGCGCGCGCTAACAGAGTCTTTCCGGTGCCTGGAGGACCAATAAGGAGGATCCCTGAGAGGATAACAGAGGGATAATACGTTTTAAATAACAGCATGTCAACTAAATAAGACCTATTGCCACACTGTGCACTCATTTCCTGGACAACAAAAAATGAGGAAATGAAAGATCTGGAGACATTTTAAAATACCTTTAGGCAGCTTTCCACCCAGAACGGTGAACTTCTGGGGGTTCTTCAGAAACTCCACAACTTCTTGTAATTCATTCTTGGCCTCTTCCACTCCTTTGACATGTTCAAATGTCACATTCTTCACCTGGACGGGGTCGACTGCAGAGTCAAGACCAGATGTGGTGCGGAACCTCACTGTGAGAAAAAAACAAACTGGTTAGAACAGTAACACCGGAAAAAACACTCCCTTTATTTACAGTGTTTTACAATGAACGACAATATGCCAACTGCCACACATTTGTGGTGCAAATCTACGCTCCTTTTGACATGTATTATTCCCTACTATTAGAAAAGTTTTAGCATTCTTGTATAAAGATATACATAGCTGTAATTTAGTGCAACTGTTGAATGCAGCAGAATCATAAGTCCAATCCAACATGCAAACTAAAGGAGGAATGCTATCTCTTATTAGCTATACTCTAAGGTATTAACTTAAAATAGGGACAATTTTGAACATATTTAAGATTAAAATAGGCTCAAGTGAAACTATTCCATTCCATCTTTTGGGAGATGAACAAGAAGTGTTGTATTCACAGTAGGGCTGCTCGATTATGGCAAAAATCATAATCTCGATTATTTGGGTCAATAATTGTAATTGCGATTATTAAATGCGATTATTCATTGACTTTGAAAACATCCATTTATTGGAGAAAATGATTTTGAACAGTATGTTTTTAACAGTTGATTACCCTGAACTTTAAGTATAATTCAACTGAAAAAACAAAAAGTAATAATAATAATAAAAAAATAATCGTTTTATTTTGATTACGTTGTTTACGTAATCGTTGCAAGCCATAATCGTAATCGCGATTAAAATATGATTAATTGAGCAGCCCTAATTCACAGTGTGCATGTAGGGTTTTGAGTGTAAGCATAGGAGAGAATAAGAACTGAAACAAACCAGCATCAGAAAAGGAGCCTTTACCCGAGAGAAACGGGGATCTCGACAAGCCATAAATCCCAATGAGAAGCAGGGCCAAAAGGATCAACCTGGTTCTCCTCAGCGAATCTGTAAACAGAGCAAAGACACTTATAAGATGTTTATATAAATCATAAGGTCTCCCTGCAACTTAACTCAGCACTCAAAGGAAATGTGGTGTTATCTTAATATTATACAAGGTTGCTTATCTTTGTTATTTAGAAGTGTAGTGCCTGATAGCTAAGTACGTGAGCCACCTGCCTTGTGTTCTCTGAGTGAAGGCCTGAGATCTCATGAAGCCCTCACTGAAACCTGTCTTGAAAGCTTCCTGCTGGTTCTCTGGAAGGTTCTTCTGCTTCAGCACTTCGTCCAGTGATTCTGGTCCTTTCTCCCGCTGAAGCAATCCCTGTAAGGCAAACAGGAAAAGAGTTGGTTGGGAAAAGAACATGTGGCTTATTAAACTTCCAAATCTGCCCCGTATTGGCTTACCTTCATGAAAGCTGGTGTGTAGGGCTCAGATTCCACCGGACCGTCATAACTAGACTCTGTTCGCCTGGTCTTTGGTCTAAAAGTCTTGAAGCCCCGACTCTGGAACAATACTAAAAATAGAGACATATTGAAAGCCACATTAAACACTACCCTTAAAATATCAACTCATTCATGCACATTGATAACTTTCATACCGCAGGTTACGTATTTAAAGTCAGTTTCTTACCAGGCAAGAATTGTAGCTCTGAGCAAGCTGCTTTTAAAGGACTGTGGTGCTGTCTATGGAATATTGGGGAGCCAAAGACCCCCAACGTCCTGTGTGAGAACCCTGTCAGACAAAAAGTAAACAAAGGGTTGTTCATATTTAAAGATTTATTTATTGTTTCTTGAGTTACACATTTTTGAGATACGAAACCTTTCCATAAAGTAAGATATTCTTAGAAAACAATAAAGGTGTGAAGGCTCATTGCTCTGAGCTGCTTACCATGTTTGTTTTGAAAGAAGCTGTGTGCAGAAACGTGGCTCGACCTCCATGCTGAGGGGACAACGGGAGGTTCTTCTGGTGCGGGAATAGGCAGCAACCTGCTGAGCAGCTCATCCAGCTGACTTCCCCTGATCTCTGACAGGCCGAGGTCCCTCAGACTCACACTGGGCTGTAAATACGGGGAAGCAAAAGTAGGTTATCTTCTTAATACCATCATTACGTAGGTTTGGCGACATCTTTAAACATGACTTACTATCACAATCATTTTTTAGAGACAGAAATGAACGCAAGTTAGACATATGTCATGACTTAGGAATTTGAAAAAATGTTTTGAACATTAAATAGACGATCAAGGTTGCAGGTACTAGTAGAAAAACACATATAGGTAAACAACCCTCTGACTATAAGGTAATAAATAGGGTATGCCTGCAGTACATTTTGATGGTGTGTTAACAGCGTCCTTTCAGTTTGTCAGGGACGCAGGACGACTATCTTTCCACATCACTGCTTCACCTTGTTTTTCTATGTTTTTTTCTGTAGGGAAACCTTTGGGATAAATGATTCAAACAATATTTAAAGTTCAACCATGAGAGATTCACTGTGGTTGATGTGTTTAAACAAAATGTAAACCTCCAGAAAAGAGGGTTCTTTCCCACTCACAAAAGATGATTGCAGGGTGTTAATAGCTAAAGATCTAGTGTTTACTACAGTTTATCCAACATAGACAATGTTCAACTTCAGTATTATTTGTATATCTGGTTCAGGGTTAGGGTTAGGGTTAGGGGTTAGGGTTAGGGTTAGCCAACTAAGTAACCCTAACCAACTAAGTAAAATGAAATACATATGTGTAAAAACATACACGTTCAGACAAAAGTCATTGATGGTTATGCACAGTCCCTTCAGGGAATCATATCTTTAATCTGTGATGCCCATCTCACCTCTTTCAGATATGAACTGTGCTCTGGAATGAAGCCTTGTTGCAGGGTCTGGATTGAAGCTGTGGCTGAGGTCTTCAGCGAGTGGAGGGCATTGATGAGCTGGCTGAGGGGCAGTATCATCTGGCAAATACATAAACAGAGAAAACAACATGATGTAATGACCTTACTATATAGGCTAAACACAAATATAAGTTGATGTTTAAAGGTTTGCTAGATTTTGTTGTGAAACTTCCATTGGGTCAGGTCAATTACATCAGTGTTATTAAGGCTGACTCCACACTGCTCGTTGCCAATCACAGAGCAGTATGGCTCACCTACGTCAGATGTGTGACAGTAATATAACCTCAACTGTTTGAAAATGAAGTTAGCACCCTTCGACTTTATTACAACCTAGCACTTTCCATACATATAAGACGGTACAGTCATAAGAAAAACTGCACGTACGCATACAGCGTGACATAAGCAGAGGCTGATTATGACCGTCGCTTTGTTAATGCTAACATTAGCTGAGCTAGGTTGTCATTGAACGTTACAGAACACAGGACATAAAAACCGACAGACCCCGCTTCTTATTCCTATACATCCCAGGAAAATCCTGTACAGGCAACTCTGACTTGATAGCTTAATGACATTAAGTTAGCAATACGTTGACAGAATAGCAGACATTAGCTAGCTAAAATACAATGGTATCCACGGCTTACCTGCTGGGGCTGAAACGACGCTGACAGTGAAAACATATTTGCAGAGTGACAATTCACAAATAGGATTTCGGGATTTGACGTGTAGGGGGAGGCCCTCTAAACAACTTAAATAAGCGAGTCCTCCCAGCAGCAGTGTCCTTTTGTATTTACTTGTTACACAACTTTCAGCAGCTTAGCTAACAACAGCAAATGGATTCTTCGGCATCTGAGGTCAGTTGACTGGACTACAATATTACGTCAAGTTGAATTACTACCGGGTGCAGCTTGCGTCATTGGTGTGGACCCCAATGTGGACCTCAAACCGCGATGTTATCTGAAATAAACTGTAAATGAGAAAAATATAACTTTATTTGCATATTATAGGTACAGAAATTAGACTAGAATGTCATTAAATATTTGTATTTTGTATTCTCTCTGTGTTGTTCACACACATTCGTTACTGCCTGATCAAAATTAAATTATTATCGTTCTGTTAGGTATCTTATTTTCAGAAAATGTTAAACGTTTAGAAATGTGGCAGAAAGAGTTAATACATAATACGTCTTTACAGTCATATCAATAACATGTCAATAACATGTCATGCTTTACATATAGGCAGTAACCTGTATAACTAAATTTAACGGACATCCGAGGACCCCGCGAAAGAGCAGTGAATTCAAAATTTCAAAACAAACCTGATGTTATTTTTCTTGATATGTAAGTGTTTACTACGAGCTAGCTGACTGTTGGAGACACACAGCTTGAGTCTTCATTTGGAAAATGGACGTAGAAGGAAAGCAGGATTCCAGTACCAATGAGAAAGTGGTGGATAAAGCTAAACCGACTTCAATCGAGGATTTCATCGTGTTGAAGCCAATCAGCCGCGGAGCTTTTGGCAAGGTTTACCTTGCTCGGAAGAAGTCAAATCCGCGATTATATGCCATAAAGGTTAGTTGATTTGGTTGTCAACGATTTGAATAATCAAAAAGAGACTTATTTATTTAAATGTTTTAATAGTAATTGTTATTGTTCTCTTTAGGTGATGAAGAAAGCAGATATGGTTGTTAAAAATATGACGGGCCAGATGAAGGCAGAGAGAGCTGCACTTGCTTTGAGCAAAAGCCCCTTCGTGGTTCAACTGTACTACTCCTTTCAGACTGCCACCAAGATCTTTCTGGTAACACCCAAAGGCAACAAATAATGACACTTACAAAAACACATTAATAGTGAGTGCCTAAAATAATGCTTTCTTTTTATGTTGCTTTCAGGTCATGGAATATCTCATTGGTGGAGATGTCAAATCTCTGCTACTCCATTATGGGTATTTCGACCAGGATACGTCTGTAAAATACATCTCAGAGGTTGCATTGGCTTTGGACTACCTCCACCGTCATGGTATAATCCACAGGTACTGTGATGCGATTTCTTTATGTATTGTTTAATGTTAATACCACTGAGTGAGTAGTCTTTTGATAATACTTGTTGTATGACTTGGACACTTACCTGATTTACAACTTTTTAGGGACTTGAAGCCAGACAACATGCTTATATCTAACACAGGACATGTTAAGCTGACAGACTTCGGCCTTTCTAAAGTCAAGCTTGACAGAGGTATGTAGTCCCATTCAATTAACATTTGAACAAATTGATCACCAAGTGTAATGGTATTGATATTTCCTTTTTTATTTAATCTTTTCAGAGCTGAGTATTTTGGATATCCTTACTACTCCATCCTTGGCTAAACCAAAACAAGATTACTTCCGCACCCCGGGTCAAGTGCTCTCCTTAATCAGCTCTCTTGGATTTGTAAGTAGATTAATATGACTTTGCGTGGAGAAATGCTCTAATAGCTCTTAATACTTTGAAGTTCAATAATGATTCCTCTATCATTTTTGAATCAAACACAGAATTCACCTGCAGCAGAAGGAAAGCGTCACTGCAGCACCTCTGCTGCGTCAAGTCCAATGTCCTGCGGCAAAGTTAGAAGGAAAAAAAACTCTCTTGGTTCTCCCTTGCTGAAGAAAAAAGAGCAGCAGTCACCGGCTGGATACCCTTGGAAAACAGGTATGTCATGGTACATATCAAAGAGATACACATCTTGGCTATTTCCCACCCTTTTCATTAACATTGTGGAATGCAAGGAATGTTAAAGGGTACCTACCTCGTGAGCTCTTGGCAAAGATAATCCGATTTAACAGTTGCTTTATCTGTTATTTCTCCATAGGGTCCAACAATGTTGTGTTTAATCCTCACAACCTGGCTAAAAATCTGACCCCCACCCTGCTGAAGACCAGGAAGAGGTTTGAGACGATGAGTGCAGGCAGCACCACCGACACTGAAGGGGCCATCTCTCCAATGTGGGAGTGTGATGAGGTCAGTGATTGTTAACCTTACTGTATGTCATTTATAGTCTATTAAACATAGGTGTCCCGAACATTTTTGTCACCACCAGTTTGTTTAATTTCAAATTATGATTTAATTTGAAATGGTTACAGATATTTTGGCTTATTGAGTTTAATGTTTGTAATATGCCTTCATTGGTTCATCCTTATTGTGACCGTTTATTTTTATATTTTATTTAGAAGGAAAATGAACACACCAACGAACAGAAGGGGAAGTTGCCTTCTGAATCCGAAGGGCCCAAACAGGACTGTGTGCCGACAAAAAAACCCGTTCTGGATGATTTGTGTCCATCAGCCTCGTCCGTAAAGAGGACATTTTCAGAAATTGAGAGAAGCCCTGAGACGTTGGAGATTCAAGCCAAGAAAAGTAACACAGCCTATAAGAGATGCTACAAGATTCCAGAAGAACCTGCAAGGCCTCACACTGGCCTGACTGGAACATTTCCCAACATCCAAATCAGTAACTTCTTGGCCTCCACTGAGGAGATTGGGTTAGATGAAGAGCGGATCCCAACACGCTCCAGTCCCATCACTAAAAGTCTGTTAAGTGAACTAGAGGAGCTAACAGAGGACGTGTTTGAAGACGGACCCAAAGACCTCTCGCCTTTCACATCACCCAGTGACATTTGCAGGAGCTTGAGCCTTGATTCTGATGGCTCTATGGCTGAAACGTCTCTCACTATGCAAAGCTGTGCATCTCTCAAGATAAGAAAGTTTGCCAAACACAACAATTCAGCATCATCTGATGAGCAAGAGGAACATAACGATTCACCCATGGCTGAATCACTCCCACAAGCTCCATCTGCTGTTGCTATGGGAACACCCAAACTTGGAAACTTTGTCCGGACAGGATCCGAGTGTTCCTTCCTTAACCGGCTCCCTGATGGTGACACAAAGTCCTCCTCATTCCTCAAGCCGAGAAATATTGTCGCTTTCCGTAGCTACTGTAGCTCCATCGACCGCTCCAACACGTCGGGGGTGTCCCGGTTAAGCATCGGTTCTGTTGATGCTATGGAGGTATCCACAACTGCTTCCCATCCCTCTGCATCTTGCAACGCAACACCAGTACAGAAAATACCCAGTTCCAACAGCTCTCTATGTCAGGTATGTTCTAGAACTCGCCACTGTCCTAAATGTAAGACCTGCAGTCTTTTGTGCACATCTTGGGTCAAAATAAAAGATACATTTTTGGGATGAGCTAAATGAGTTTAAGAGTTGTGGTGATTTACCTGTCGGGTGGTATTAAAATACATTGTAAATGACATAAACCACACAAAGGTTACTTATTTAAGGCTTTCTAATAATTTTTTTAAATAATTTTCTCACATCAGACTCCTCAGCCCATGTCAGCCTCTCACACCCCCTTCAGGACCCCAAAGAGCGTCAGGAGGGGGACACTGCCTGTTGAGGGTGTACCCATTTTAGGAACTCCTGACTATTTGGCTCCGGAGCTTCTCTTGAGAAAACCACATGGTAAGATTGGGAAATTAAAAAAACTCACAGCAACACGCAAATAGCCCAAAACAGTCTTACTGTATTGACATTGGATGGTTGACTTAGTAGTCTTTTTGACAAGCACTCTTGTTTGAGTTTCAGGAAGTTTTCAGTGTGGTAAGTTTATAGTGATATTTCTGTTTGTGCAAGTAAGCTTGCATGATCACCCAGCCTGCTAATATGCTAAAGGGAATGAGCTGATTGTTCCCCCTTGTCCTTCCCCTACTGGTTCTCTTTCTTCCCGTGGGATTGTTGGAAAAACTGTGGGCTGGTCAGAGGCAAGGGGGAAGCATTTAAAACGTGTGATTAAAAAGGCTAAAGAAATGGGATTGTCTTTTAACATTCAGCTAACGCCATTGTTACACGGAACAAGCTTTAATATTTGGGCAAATTGTGGCATATATTCAATGTGCTATATCACTGGCTTTATTTTTGTCAATCATCACACTGCAAATTGTCATCTAATAATAACGTATTGATTGGATATGCTGTTATTTATTCAAATGTAAACAAGCTGAGGGCAGTATTTCCTGTCAGTCGCACCATGTAACATAATTGCTGACATTTGGATTCATGAACTGTCAGTCTATGACATGATTGATTCTGTGTGACAGTATTTATTCATCAGCTGTTAAGATGTGTTCATGGCTCAACTCAATAGATAATTGTGATTGATTCTCAAATCCTTTCATTCATTGCAAAAGACTGTGTTTCAACTATAATCCCAGACACACATCAATATTCATGTGTGTTAGATGTGGGTGATAATTACAGATATTTTAAGCTACGTGTTGGTGATTGAAAGAAAATGAGTTCATACCAGAACATCCTTTTGTCCTCAACCTAACTTATTCCCTTCTCATGCCACTGCAGTACAATTGGTGCACTCTAACTGAATCAAAGGGAAAACATGTTGAAGCCAGCAGCTGTATGAAATGTGACTTCTCTTTGCTTCTATCCAGACTGCATGGTGGATTGGTGGGCGCTTGGTGTGTGTCTTTTTGAGTTCCTCACAGGTGTGCCACCTTTCAATGATGATACCCCTCATCTGGTCTTCCAGAATATCCTCAAAGGAGGTGGGTTTGTATTTCTTTTACAGAAACATCCTAACGTAAACCACAAAATGCTTTCAAATATGTAACTCTCACACAGCCTGTATTTGATGATCCACATGCCTAACAAATAATAATTTTAGTTTACAATATGATGTTAAGGACATGCTTTAGTTGCTTTTGTCACCACCTTCCTGTTCAAAATTGTTGCTTCTTTTAACACTTTCAATCATTTTAGATATTCTCTGGCCTGAGGAAGAGGAGGAACTATCTGTAAACTCAAGAAATGCAATTCAAATTCTCCTAGCCATGGACATGACAAAAAGAGCTGGTCTAAAGGGTGAGAACAGCTTTACAATATTTCAAATCA